TTGGGAAACTCCTGAATTTTAGTTTCTCAGCAACAAACAAAACCACTCCCATTGACTCCTGGGTTAGTGGCTCCCTCCCGTGCTCGGCAAAAGGTGCTTTAGTGTTTCTAGAATTGTGGTCAAACTGCCCAAATTCTAGGGCTAGCTGCCCTTGTCCAAGTAGACTCTTAACCTTGGGCTGTGGTTGGACTGGGGTGAGGAGGGACAAGGTGGTGGTGGGAACTGTAGCCCCCCAAAATGCCTGGAGTCAGTGGGAGACAGATAGGTGGGGGAGAATGGGTCTCTCCGCCTCCGACCACCCCCCCGTCACCTGGGTGGGATATTATCTATCCCAGAAGTCTGTGGGGTGCTGACGTGGCTGGGTAGGTGGGGGAAAACTGCCAGTGCCTGGCTTGTGGACAACACGCCCTCACCCCTGCCACACACTAACACCCATTTACAGAAGGGGATGCGGGGCTGTGGCTGCATTGGGGGTGGATGAGGGTGCAGAGAGCCCAGGGGCTAGCCTGGAGCACCGGATGTGGGCCCCACATTGTCATCCTGCTTTATCTTCCTCCGGCCCCCTACTGAAAGACACTTTTCTTTTCCTCTTCTCCTCCAATTGCTGCTTGTGTTCTTATCTGTTTTGTTATGCCGATGCCACTCTGTCCCTGTCTTCCTCTCTCCCTTAACTGTTCCTCGGGTTTCTAACTCCAAACCCTCTGGATCTCTGTCCCCTGTTTCCCTGGGCTTCCATCCTCCTCCCCGGAGGCCTTTATCCCCCTCTCTCTGGGACTCTGTCCCCTCCCCCCATGCCTTTGTCCTCCTTTCTCTCTGGGTCACCATCCCCCTCTCTGGGATCTTCTACTCACCCCACCTTCACCCCTGCTGGTCTCCTCTTTCCCTGCATCTCTGTTGCTTTCTGTCGCCATATCTGGCTCCTGCCACCTCTGGCTCCTTCCATCTCCATGCTCCTGGCTGTCTGTCTTTGGCCCCTTGTCTTCCGCTGCAGCCTCGTGTGACTCCAGAAGGCGAGTACATACCACTGGACCACCAGGACGTGGACGTGGGCTTTGACGGCGGCACCGATCGCATCTTTCTCGTGTCACCCATCACCATTGTGCACGAGATCGACTCCTCCAGTCCGCTCTATGAACTAGGACGTGCCGAGCTGGCCCGGGCTGACTTTGAGCTAGTGGTCATCCTTGAGGGCATGGTGGAGGCCACGGCTATGACCACACAGTGTCGCTCTTCGTATCTCCCTGGGGAACTGCTCTGGGGCCATCGTTTTGAGCCGGTCCTCTTTCAGCGCGGCTCCCAGTACGAGGTGGACTATCGCCACTTCCATCGCACTTACGAAGTCCCAGGGACACCAGTCTGTAGCGCCAAGGAGCTGGATGAACGGGCGGAGCAGGGTTGCCACAGCCCCAAGTCCAGCTTCCCCGGCTCTCTGGCTGCGTTTTGTTATGAGAATGAACTTGCTCTGAGCTGCTGCCAGGAGGAGGAGGAGGAAGCCGATGAGGAGGACGAAGCGGAGGCAGAAGATGGGGCTGCCAGTTCCCGAGCACTCACACCAACCCTGGCACTGCCCCCGCCCCCATGACACCAGCTGGTGTCCCCCCATTGGTACCCCCTTCCCAGAGGCAGCCAGGTGGAGAGTTCGGGCCCTCCCCTGGGATGGGGCCAGGTGTTTTCCAAGACTGCCAGGCCTGCTGGATTAATTACTAGCCAGTGAACCATGCCTAGTGGCCCCACCGTGGACAGACTGGATCTTAATCCCTCTGTGTTCTATGCGCCTCCCTGAGACCCCTTTATCAGCCGGATTCCTGAGTCTCACCAGAATTCTGGACCACCCAAGAGGCAAAGACTAGTGGTTCTAGATTCTTCTATATGGCTGGCTCGGATTGTTGAGCAGGGTCAGGAATCAATGAGATATATATATATAGACTGCCTCTGAGGGAGGAAGTCAGCAGTACTCGAGCAGCGACAGAGATCAAGAGTTTACAGGTCTGGACTGACCTGAGATTCAAGGGACAGTTGCTTCGTGCTCAGCCGACCACATAGCACGTCATTTTTTTTCTATACCACCCAAGGAGGGAAAGCTACGGAATGCCCCAAGACTTCAGGGCCGTCGTGATTGACCAAAAACAGGGAATGTTGACTGGGAGACAGGAACAGACCTGTGGTTCCAGAAAGCCCACGCTGTGAGATTCTGTGAATCTGGATTGACCGCAGAAACCAGCACTGGAGGTTCAAGAACAGGTCTGACCCAGGCAGTAGAAGTCCAGACACTGAAGAGCTACGTTTCTAGAATGCACAAAACAACAGAGAGTCTGTGGGTCTAGAAGGACTAAAGTGACAGATGGGGAGTTCCTGATGCAGCTCGCTGGCTATAGAGCATCGAAGCAAGGGGGATCTTCAGTGCTTTTAAATGATCCACAGCTTTGTATTTTTTCCAAGTGCCATTCTAGAATGTCCAAAGGAATCGAGATTCTGTGGCTCTAGATGAATCACAGAGTCCAGGAAGAAGTGGCGATTCTAGATGACTTCTTTGTCGTTCTGTAATGCCAAAAGGAACCCAGGCTTCAGGGATCTGGAGTCGTCCATTATCAAAACCTGGATGTTCTAGGAGGTGGACTGAGCCCTTGACACACAGCATTGCTGGGCTGACCTAGAAAGTGAGGGCCCAGGCAAGGCCCTGTGGGTAACAGGGCTAGTTATTGGGCAAGGGGAGGGAGAGGCCCGAGGCTGGTGAGTCTGCAGTCATGACAGATTCCATGATGGAGCCTCTGGTGAGGCTCTGGAACCCTACACCTAGTGATACGTGTCTGTTTCTTAAAGATGTTATAATATGTGTATTATATATAATATAAATACAGATATCTATGTCTTTCCCATGGTTCTTACAGAAGGGTTAGAAATGGAGGTGGGGCTCATGGGAATGGAGTCTCGTATGAGGATTTAGGAAGCTTTGCTCTGAATCCCAACTCTGCTCAAGTACTGTGTGACCTTGGGCAAATCACTCCTCTTTCCCTGCCTCAGTTTCCTCGTCTGTAAAAATGAGGCATTGGAACTTGAGCTCTCCAAGGGCCTTTCCAGCAAGATGATTCCTCACCTCACTGAGGGTGAAGCGGGGCTGAGGAGCTTCGGGATTTCCCTGCTCTCCCTGGTGCCGGAGCAAATAGTCTTCCAGGGGCAGTGGCAATGGGAGATGCTCTTGGAAGCCTGCTCTGGACTTGGATGTCTGAATGACAGAGCAGGCAAGCTGCAGTGTGGGCCATAATGAAGGGTCAGAATGGCTTCCTCCCTGGTGTAGCTTGGGGGACAGGGGAAGGAGGTAGTTGTGATTGCCAGGGGTAAGTGTGATTAGGGGGAGATTGTCCCCCAGATTAAACCACTGGGAGCCCCGGTGCTGTTTCTGTGACTGTGCTTCTGGACCTGGCCTTCCCCCGTGCTTCTATCTACCTAAGTGCCCAGCAGGCAGGGAGCCAGCCGCAGAAAGAACCAGTGCCAGGGAGGACATGTTCCCACCCTCTGTGTCCCAGGATGGAGGGCGGGCACCGCCATGGCCTGTCAGCCTGCCCAAATGCTGCACCAACCCAGGTCCCCCCTTCTGGGTTCCCCACCTCCCTTTATCCTTCAGAATCCCCATGTAATCACCGGATGGGATTAATTAGCTAGCCGCTCTCCCAGCTCAGGGTGTCTGGGGTAGACACTGAGGGCAATGGAATTAGGGATGGAGAAAGATGTTAGGTGTGAGGTGAGGGGCAAGGTTCTGTTCGGAAGGAGAGTGGGGTCAGGGCTAGCACAGCCTGGTTTCCAATGGGGAGGGCAGGGCCTGGGCCACGCATAAAGGTCAGTGAGGAGATTAGGAAACTCCATGTCTAATCTGTCAGCTTAACCGGGTCCAAGCCCTGAATCTGTCTCCACCTGCCCAGCCCAGGGATGGCAAATGAGGACGAGGCCCAGACACCACCTCAGACCCAATTAGGGACCTACTCGCGACAGGGTGCCGAAGTTCTCCATTTTGGCGGGGGTCCTGCACCCGCTTTGGCTGCAAGAAATGAGAGTGAGAGGCTGCGGTGGGGTTAGGACCTCAGATGCTGGAGGACTGAGAAGATGGAGTGTAAGAAGAGTGGGAGTGTGAGAGGAGGGGTAAACCTCAAGTGAGGTGAGCTAGGGAGGAGGGAAAGGACTCTGAGAAGGTGGGAGGGTGCTGAGGAAAGGGGAGTTGTCCTAGGGGGTGGGGGGAGGATGCTAAAATAAGGGGAGGAGTTCCATGAGGAGAGGGAGGGGCTTGAGGTACGAGCGCCAGAAAGGCCAGAGCCTGAGCTTTCACTATATTTGGCCTGCCCCTACTGTCCCATTCTCCTTGACAGATGCCAAATAGCGTAACATTTCAAAGTAAGAATGTCTTTGTTCCACCACTTAACTCTGAAGAGGCTGGGGTAGATAGGATGATGGGAAGGGGTAAGAAAAGGGTCTGCAGATCAGAGAAGCCAGAAGGCGGAGAAAGGAGGCCGAAGCAAGGTGAGCCAAAGCTGCTCCCGGTTGCGCGGCAACCGCTGCGGTCAAAAGGCAGCTTGATCGCTAGGAGGTGTGGTTCATGGGAACAACTCCCAGCTGTGGCCCTGCCCTCTGGCAACAAGACTAATAAAGTACCGACCCCCAGCAACGTATAAACTAGCAGCCGGGCTCGGCTGAACTAGTATCCAAGTGTCCATAGGTCTGGCACGGGTGCAAGCCTCTACGCTCCCGCGTAGTCCCACCTCCGTGCAATTCCTTTCCAAGGCTTATTATGGACGTGTAAGCCAGCCAAGTGGACTTCTTTTGTTTCGGAGGCGGTGCCCAGCTCCCGGCCCGCACTCCGATTGGCCCCACAGACCGTCTTCCTCCGGCCAGACCCCGCTACGTCTGCTCCTTGAGCGCTTATTGGCCCTGGTGAACGGTCCTTTGGTGCTGAGGGCGGAGCAAACGAGAGGGTCCGCAGTGGATTGGACAGTGTCAAAACGAGGGGCGGTCCTTACTGGCGGGGCGGTTGGGAGGTGAAGGGAGAGTCTTTTCAGCGCTGAGGACTGGCGCTGAGGAGGCGGCGGTGGCTCCTGGGGCGTTTGAGCGGGCTCACCCGAGCCCGCGGGCCAACGCGGATCCAGGCCCGACTGGCGGGACTGCCCCGGACTCCCCGCGGGCCTTTCTCGCCGCCATGGAGGACGGTGTCTATGGTAGGTCGGTGAGGGGTGGGGCCGGCTAGATGCGGATGGAGCCCTTCGTACCGAACGTTCCACCGCGAACGTTTCTGTTGGCGCGCGCCTCACGGAGCTATTCGGCCACGTCGTCGCTGCCTCGCTTTTGTGGGGCACGGGATGGGCTTCCGGCGGGGCCCGAGAGCGGGCGTTCCAGGCCATTGTTTGGGCCGATCCTGTTTCCGGTGGCGGCGGGAGGGGGCGGGATGGAGCGGTGGAGTCGAGGAGGCCGGGCTGAACCATTCCCCGAGGAGGGGCCGGGCGAACCCAGTGCCTGCTGGGAGCAGGGAGGGGGGATTCTGGGGGTGGCGGGGTGAGGGAGAAATCTGGGGTCTACAGAGATCACACTAAGACCGTGGCCTTTGCTGCCCCGCCCCCTTCCCCAACTCTTAACAAGCTGTCATCAGCTTCCCCTGACATAATTACTTTTCATGGACCCAGGCGTCCTTGCACCCAGGCCTCCAGCTACACCACCAGGAATAGAAGCAGAAATCCAGGGCCTCAGCCCCCTTTCCAAGTAATGAACCAAGAGTTCAGGCTTCCAGCCCATTCTTTCCCAGACGTAAAGAGTTAAGGCCTCTAGTCCCTTTTCCTGGCAAACATAGGAGGCTCGACCCTGATCTTCATCCTCCCCCTAAACCTAGGAGTCATGCCCTCCCAGTGCTGTAATTCCCCAGATTACAGGAAAACAGGCTCCCAGTCCCCAGAACTGACCTCCAACCCCTGCCCCCCCCCCCAGAGCCCCCAGACCTGACCCCAGAGGAGCGGATGGAGCTGGAGAACATTCGGCGGCGGAAGCAGGAGCTGCTGGTGGAGATCCAGCGCCTGCGCGAGGAGCTCAGTGAAGCAATGAGCGAGGTGGAGGGTCTGGAGGCCAATGAGGGCAGGTGAGGGCTAGGGTGGAGAACCTGGGGGTCACTGGGCCCGGCCAGGGATGCCCAGGCATTGACACCCCTATCCCCTGTCTTTCTGTTATGCAGTAAGACCTTGCAGCGGAACCGGAAGATGGCAATGGGCAGGAAGAAGTTCAACATGGACCCCAAGAAGGTGCTTAGGGCCACAGGGCTGGGGTCAGTCAGGCAGACCTCCTGATGGGGTTTCTGGCACCTCGAGGTTCCAGAAACATGATGGTGAAAGGCCTGCTTTAGGTGGACAGACTTGGTCCTAATCCCTGGAATTAGATAGTGTTCGTCTGTTCTCTGAATACTGACCAAGTTCTCCAGCCTCCTGACCTTTGCCTGTGCTATGCCCTCTGCCTGGGAAATGCTCTTTTCCCCTTTTGTTCATATTTCTGGACCCACTTGGTGCCACCTAGAATTTCAGGAGGAGCTCCTGTCTGGTAGGGAACGTTTACAGTGATGTGCACAAAGGAGGGTTGGCCACGGCCATCACAGGGAGGGACAACAGCTGTGGACTCTCAGCGGAGCCCTCGCCGTACTTGAAGGACTGCTGTTTACTAAGTTTCTTGCTTTATTCTCCCTGCCCCAAGCAGTGTAGTTTGTTCATTCAGCAAACATCCACTGAGCTCCTGCTCTAGGTGCTGGAATTAACCAGGCAAAGGCAGAGGGAACTGTAGGTGCAAAGGCCATGAGGCAAGAGGGATGGTATTTAAAGACCTGGGAGAAGCTTGCAAATGACACGTGGCCCTGCTCTGGTGGCACGGGGGCAGGTGGTGGGAATCGTGGTCTGGGCACCTTAGCACTGAGGCCTGGTCCCCACCCACCAGGGGATCCAGTTCTTGGTGGAGAATGAACTTCTGCAGAACACACCTGAGGAGATCGCCCGATTCCTGTACAAGGGCGAGGGCCTGAACAAGACGGCCATCGGGGACTACCTGGGGGAGAGGTGAGGTCTGCGCAGCCCCTCTGTGCCTCCCCCAGCCCTGCACCAGCTCCTGCCTGCACTGCCAGCCCCTCCCCCAAGGAAAGGCCCTGATAGACTAGCCTTCCAACTGGGCTGCGATAGGGTGGACTGACCCAGGGGTGTGGGGAACCTGGGGACTATTTGTGAGCATCTTGCTGGGTGAGGACTGTCCATGGACATCTGGGAAGTGGGGGGCCATCCATTCATGACTGAGGACAGCGGAGGAAATCAGGGTTGTGGGAGTGTGAGAACCAGGTGTAGACAGCCAGTGCGCATGGGAACTGGACAGATAGGGAGTATGGGGATCACCGGGGGTGCCATGGAGATCTGGGAGCGTGAGAACCTCTGTGGACTTGGGTGCATATGGGGACTGTCTACACGTCTAGGGTGCATGAGACTGGATGTGAGGATTGTAGGGGGTCATCTTTGGGCATTGCGGATGTGGGGACTGTCCAGGCACCTAAGGTGCATGGAACCTTCCGTGAAATCTGGAAAACTTGGGGGCCATCTGTGAGCGTCTGGGGTGTGTGGAGACCGTCTGAACATCTGAGTGCACAGGACCACCTGTGAAGCTCTGGGGGGCTTAGGGATTGTGTGGACAGCTAAGGTGTGTGGAACTTTCTGGACATTTGAGTATGTGGAAACTGTTGATGTCTGGGAACCTTCTGTGGGCATCTGGGGTTGGGGGGCGCCCTCTGGAGGTCCCTGGGGACCGTCTGTGGACAGCCAGAATATGTGGAGACTGTCTTTGGACATCTGGTATTTGGGGGATCGTTTTGTAGGCATCTGGAATGCAGGGCTGTCCGTGGATGTCGGGGGTCTGGGGGCCATCTGTGGACGTCCGAGGACCCTGGGTGTTACCCGAGAGAGGTGGCAGTGGGCAGAACACACGTTTGCTGCATCTCTCCCAGCGGTGCAAAGGACCGGCCAGACCGGGGTTCTTGCCACAGATGGGCCTCCCAGGAGCATGTTCTGAGTGCCCATGCCCTGGTGCCAGGCCTGTGATGAGGCCAGGCCAAAACTGCCACCCGCCACGGAGGCCACTGAGGTGCAAAAGTGGTGACACAGCCTCCCCAATGCTTTGTCTCCTTCCTAAGCTACTTTTTGTGAATGACTTTGTCCCTGTCCTCCCAGGGAAGAGCTGAACCTGGCCGTGCTCCATGCCTTTGTGGATCTGCATGAGTTCACCGACCTCAATCTGGTGCAGGCCCTCAGGTGAGAGGGCCTGAGTTGGAAGGGCAGGAATGTACCTGTCAGGCCTTTCTTTACAAGTGGTGATGCCTACTCAGAACAAAAACAGAAACAAAAACTAGGGGGTTGCCTCATGTAACACAAAAGCCCATGGTAAGACCTTCTTCAGGCATAGCTGTATCCAGGTGTTCAGATGGTGTTGGAAGGTCAGCCTTCTCTGTTTTTTGGTTGTGTTCACCACTGTGTTGACATTGCCCTCTGGAGGCCCTCCTCCCAGATGATATCAAGCCTCGGGCAACCTCTAGGCCTGTTTAGCAACCTTAGCAGAAAGAGTGCTTTCCTTAAATGCACCGCAAGTCCCATAGTTGGTGCTCGTTGGTCAGATTGGATCATGTGTGTACTTGAAGCAGCTGCTGAGGCTGCAAGGTTTGGTGCTCTTATTGACCGGTTCCTAACACAGGACGAGCGTGGGAAGGGGCTCTGTCTGTCCCAGCAGCCACACCGGCCCCTCTCTAACCCAGGCAGTTTCTGTGGAGCTTCCGCCTCCCTGGAGAAGCCCAGAAGATTGACCGGATGATGGAAGCCTTCGCCCAGCGATACTGCCTGTGCAACCCCGGGGTTTTCCAGTCCACAGGTGGGGGCCTGATGCTGGGGGCTCGGGGAGGACACACTGGGGGCCTGGATTCCTGGGGCCTTGGGGCAGGAGGCGGGGTGCCAGGTGCCTGTGTCGTCACTGCCTGACTGTGCCGCAGACACCTGCTACGTGCTGTCCTTCGCCGTGATCATGCTGAACACCAGCCTGCACAATCCCAACGTCCGGGACAAGCCGGGCCTGGAGCGCTTCGTGGCCATGAACCGGGGCATCAACGAGGGCGGGGACCTGCCTGAGGAGCTACTCAGGGTCAGACCCCCTCTACTGGCCCCACAGTGCCGCAGCCCTGTCCTCCCACCAGAGGCCATGCCCCACAGGTCTCCCGGTGCCTAGGCTGTCCACCTGGGGTACCGCCTTCCCACAGACACCGTGTCTTTCCTCTCTCTCTCCGGCTGCCTCTTTGTTTCTCTGTCTTTCTGGCCCTCTGACTTTTGGAGTCTTGGTCCATCTCTTCCTCCACCTCTCCACTTCTGTCTAAAAACTGAGCAGCTGCTTGCAACTGTGTCTGTTTCCTCTCCATCTTTCCTGTCTCTCCTCCTGGGGGCTCCCTCCACTCTTCTGCCTTCCACTTCCCTTCCCTCCGTAGCCTCCTCCCTCCCTTCCTCTCCCTCCATGGGCTGTCCCACCTGTGGCCTTATCACCTCCTCACCGCCAAATAGCCCCGGCAGGGTCCCTGGGGCCTGGAATTACTGACCAGGCCCTCGACCCCCAGAACCTCTACGACAGCATCCGAAATGAGCCCTTCAAGATCCCGGAAGATGATGGGAATGATCTGACTCACACCTTCTTCAACCCGGACCGGGAGGGCTGGCTCCTTAAGCTGGGTACGTCCCCTCCTGACCCCACTGGCTGCCCTTGCAGTGGGGATTCAGTGGGCCTGGGCTCTGGACTCAGCTTCCACACATACCTGCTGTGTGACCTTAGGCAAGTGACTTGACCTCTCTGGACCACTTTCCACATTTGACTAGTGAAGCTGAAAAGATCGGGCCTGTGCACTGGGCCCAGGCCCAGGGCCCCGCATAGAGGGGCTCCATAGACATTTGTAGGTGAGGAGAAGGGGCTCAGGAGCACCAACTACATGCCAGGCCCTCTGCTCAGGAGTAGGATCCCTGGCCGGGATGGGAGGGGTGGGGTGGCACCAGCAAACTCAGTCAGCAGGAGTCGTGCAAGGGCCTCTTCCTGAGGACAGCAGTGGTCTCAGTCCTGGCTGCGCATGGAGGCACCTGGGCCCCTCCAAAACCCCAATGGCCGGGCTATGCAGCCGGGCACCGGGGCAGGAGAGCCGTCAGGACGAAAGCTCTCCAGGCGGTCAGATGCAGCACCAGGGCTGAGAGTGCCCGCTGGCTCAGAGCTGCGCCTGGTAATGGAAGGTGCCATGGGAGTGTTCACTGTGGTTTTTTAATGGAGAAGCCATGAATAGCCGCTCTGGGAGACAGACTGGCGAGGAACTACAGCCCAATGGGGACAGCCAGGGCAGCGGGGGCAGGGCCCAGTGTGGGACCAGGACAGCGCTTTGCTCCTCCGAGTCTCTGTCTCCTCCCCGAGTGTGGGACTGTCCTCTGAAGCCGGGGCATCCTCCAGCACCCAGAGCAGGCCCCTTCCTGGGGCACGTAAAAATGCAGATCCCCTCTTCCAGCCAACATGCTGGGCGGAGGGGCTCCAGGGGGGGACGCAGGTGCTGCTAGGCCTGTGGTGCCCGGCAGTGAGGGCGTGCTGAGGGGGGAGAGGCACCAACCTCACCAGGAATGGGTTCCCCTCCCAGCCACCCCGACTTCGGGAATCGTTCCGTTGCCCAGATGAGGAAGTCCAGGCTCGCTCACCGTCCAGCAGCCAGAGGGCAGAGGTGGCCTCGGACCGAGATCTCTGACCTGAGCACTTGTCTGCTTTGTGGCCATCAGGGGAAGAAAAGGCGCCGCTTAAAACACTGAAATACAGGAAGGGGAGCCTGGTGGTGGCTGTTTTCACAATGGTTAACAGGTGGTTGACAGAAGCCGTGTTACCATTACTGTTTAATCCTGCATCACAGGGAACACAGAAGCAGGAAGGTGGCCTAAGAGGCTGTCCTGAGGTCACACAGCCAGCTTGTGCAGGAGCTGACGCGAGTCCTCAAGCCCACCTTGGGCCAAGGACGGGGATTTTGGCTTCTCCCTTGTGGGGATGACACCCAGGGGAGAGCCATGCCCACCGAGGCGGTGGAGGGCCCTCCGGGCCCAGGACCTGTCTGGGGGGCGGGCTGGAGTGGGCGCTGGTGGAAGAGGTGCTCCGGCCACTCTGCCGGGGCTCAGGGCCTTCCGCTTCCCCGGGAGGGACAGGGCCTGGATGATCCTCCCTCGTGTGGATGTAACTGGTTTTCTTCCCTCTCTCTCCCTCCCTCCTTCCCTCTCTGCGTGTCTCTCTTTGCTGTCTCTGTCTCTCCGCCCTGCCCCCTGCGCATACCACCCCTCGCCCGCCTATTTCTGTTGCCTGCGGCTCTCGGGGGCACCCCATTCTTCCGCCTTCCCTTCTCGCCTGGTCCTGCCTGCTTTCTCGCTGTCTGCCCCAGGAGGTAGGTACACGGCCGTCCTAGCTCCCCGCCACCACCAGGGGAGGGGGCTGGAGGCTCAGACTCCCGGGCCGTGGGCTGACAGGCTTAGAAAGTGTGAAGCCCCACGAGGGGGGTGGACCGCTGGGGGTCAAGCACGCCTGCTCCTGCTTGTCTGTCTCTTCCCGCGCACTGCTTCGTCCCAGGCCCCGCCAGCACCGCCTCCCACACTTGCTCTGCCTCTCACTCCCCTCTGCGCCCCGCCAGAGGCCCTGTCCCCAGTGCTGAGCCCGGGCCCCCTCCCACCCCTTCCCTTTCAGGGGGCCGGGTGAAGACGTGGAAGCGGCGCTGGTTCATCCTGACAGACAACTGCCTCTACTATTTTGAGTACACCACGGTGAGCAGGAGCTGAGCCACACTCTGGGTCCCCGGGGATGGGCGGGGCCTGAGGGAGCTCTCCCGGGGCAGGGCGGAGGGAGTGTGAGCTGGGGGTGAGGCCGGCAGGGCTGAGGCCTGCCCGACTTGCCCTTTCAGGACAAGGAGCCCCGAGGGATCATCCCCCTGGAGAACCTGAGCATCCGGGAGGTGGACGACCCCCGGAAACCAGTAAGACCCTCCCGTATTCCTTCCTGCCGCAGCGGGGCCCCGCTGGCCTTCAGGCCGGCCCTTACCCGCCACCACGCCTCCCGTTTGGTGTCTCCCCAGAACTGCTTCGAGCTTTATATCCCCAACAACAAGGGGCAGCTCATCAAAGCCTGCAAAACGGAGGCAGATGGCCGAGTGGTGGAGGGGAACCACATGGTGTACCGCATCTCAGCCCCCACACAGGAGGAGAAGGATGAGTGGATCAAGTCCATCCAGTGAGTCCAGGCTCCGGGGACCTTGGGGAGGGAGGGTGCAGGGGGGGCCCAGATCCCTTGGCCCTCACCCTGAGGTCCCTCCCCTTCTGCAGGGCCGCAGTGAGCGTGGACCCCTTCTATGAGATGCTGGCGGCCAGGAAGAAGCGCATTTCTGTCAAGAAGAAGCAGGAGCAGCCCTGACCCCTTGTCCCCAACCCCGTTATTTATTACTGAGCCTCCCCGCCCGGGCGGCCGGCCCCCTGGGACGTGGCGCTATGGATCCTGGTTCCCTCTTTGGAAAATGCACCACCTCTAGTTCCTCTCGCATTATTTGTAATTAACACGCTGTTGGTAATCTTATTAATTATTGAAGCACTTACAGCCTGCTGACCCCCTCATTTCTTGGGGCTGACAGAGTTGATGTGCTTGGCAGAGGCGGCCAGTCGGCCCTATCTGTGATGGTGACGGTGACTGTGACCAGGGCCGGGAGTGCTGGGCTCTGCTGGGGGCTGTCAGTACATGAGGGAAGTGCTGTCCCAGCGGGTGGCCCCATGGGGGCCCCTTCAGGGCAGCCCATTTCTGGTTCCGCCCCACACCTGCAGGGATGGGGCAGAGGGAGGGGTGAATGCGGCCGTAGTTAGAGGTGCACTGGAAGGCAGGCATTCCCAGGTGAGGGCTCGAGTCCATAGCACACATTCGTCCCCCCAGCAGCAGCCTGGCTGCTGCTGACCCCTGCCTCTGCCCTCATGGGGCTTGTGGCCTTTGATAGGTGGCAAATAATAGCCGACAGGATTGTGAGCTGGGCTCGTGCTGGTGGGGAAGCCGGCGAGCTGGAGGGGCTATGAAGCGGACCCACTCTGGGAAGGAGGAAGCATGAGAAAAAGGAGGAAGCCCCATATTGGGCACAGCAGATGGGAGGCCTTGCTCTTGGGATCTCCCTGGGGCTCTGCAAGAAGCTGCTGGAGTTGGGAGTGGGTGGCCCAAGAGGGCTGGAAAGCCACCGGGATCATCCTCCTGGAGAGCACATTTTACACCAGGAATATCACTGAGAACCTGCGTTTCCATGACGTCCCATTTGCCAAAAATCAGTCTCCAGAGATGTAAGAACCACATTCTTTGAGTATGGCCCTGAGCCCCAGGTCTGGGCCTGTTCGCTTGGGGCATGCGCAGTGTCCCACGGGGCAAAGAGATGGGTTGGCAAATAGGAAGACCCTATGGCATTCTACGCGCGGATCTGCAGCTGGGGTGACAGGAGAAACCACAGCTCTGGCAGGCCCCTGGACTCAAACCCAACCAGAATGGAAGCCCCGCCCCCGGACTTGCTGGGTGCAGTTCCCTTGCACGCTGTGTCCTCCAGAAGTTGAATCCTTAATTGTTGAGTACTCACGGTGGGATGGGTAGCGTCTGGGATCTCGGGCCTAGGTCCTGGCCCATCCTGTGATCACAGGCATCTGTCCCCGTACAGGGCTCTGGAATGCAGTAACACTGACACTCTCCTAGGTGGCGCACCCCGCTCCTGTCAGACCATTGGACTACAATTCCCAGCAAGGTATGCGGTGCCAGGTGCCCCAATGACAGGAAAACTGTTCTCGAGGTCTCCTGGGAGTTGCAGTTTCTCAGGACAACGCTGTCAGATTTACCATATCCTGGTCCCCAACTCGTGTGTGATTTGGGAAAAGAGGCCCTAACAGCTTCGACCCCCAGGGGCTGATGGGAATTGGAGTTTCCAACTCCTCCCAAAGGTTGCATGGAAATGGAGTCATCAACCCAAGAAGGTTCTGGTAAATAAGATCCCTGAGCAAATAAAGGGTCCCATCACTACCTCACCCTATCCTGCGCCCCTCCATGGAATAAATCCATAGGTACTGAGTGCCTGCTAGTGGGGAAGTTCCTGGCTCAGTGGAGATGCCTGGGAAGACCATTCAGGGCCAAAGGTGCAGAGGCAGGAAAAGGCATAGTGCATTGGACTAATGGACAGCAGACCGGTGTGCCTGTCTGGTGGTGGTGGGAGGAGGGGGACAGAAAAGGAAGGGGACGGATGGGCCTGATTGTTTGGGCCTCAGACTTTGAAGTATTCTCAGCTGATGGAAGCCAGCCAAGGGTGAAAAGCAGCAGAGTACGCATTTGGATGGAGGTTGTAGAAGCCCCGGGCTGCTGCAGGGGGAGAATTTGGAAATGAGCCCGACTGATAGCAGGCAGATGAGTTAGGAGACTGTGGAGTCATCCAGGTGTGAGAGGGTATGGCTGCAAGGGGAGAAAAGTGACCCCGTGGGAATCACTTTGGAAGAGGAGCCGGGCGGACATGTTGAGAGCTGGGTCAACTCTGGGACTCTGGCTGGAGTATCTGGGGAATGGCAATGCATTTCCTGAGATGATGGAAGAGGGAAAGTTTTTTTTGGTGGGGGTGGGGAATCAATGGTTCTGTTTTAGCCAAATGAAGCCAGATTGTCAGTGGAACATTCAAGCTAGGCGCCAGTCACCTCAAAATTGTCCTGCACACCCCCCAATTCACTTCTCCAAGGACTAAGAATTCTAGCTTCTAGTCCCCTCCTCTTCTAGGACCCTAAGCTCCCAACTCCCTTGTTACAAGTGTCCCTCCAAATTCCATAGGTTAAAGTCCGAGCCCCCAGGGCCTCAGAATTTGAAAATAGGATCACTGCGGGTGAAATTTGTGAAGATGAGGTCATCGACATGGACCCTACTCCAATGTGACTGATGTCTGTGCACAAAGGGGAATTTTGGATGCAGAGACACCCGCACGGGAGGACGTATAAAAATAAAGGCAGAGATTGGGGTGACGCATCTCCACACCAACGAACCTCAAAGACTGCCAGCAAAAGCACCAGCAGCTGGGAGAGAGGCAGGGAACAGACTGTCCCCTCACAGCCTCAGAAGGAACCAAGCCTGCTGGCACCTTGATCTTGGACTTCTAGCCTCCAGAATTATGAGACGATCAGTGTCTGTGGTCTAAGCCACCTGATTTATGGTCCTTTGTTAGAGTAGCTCTGCCACACTGATGTGCCCTTCCTCACGCAGACGGAGGAGTCTGGCCCTCACTGCCTTGTCTGGCTCAGGTCCATGCAGCCCCCACCCTGGGCAGGCATGTCCCAAGACCAGTCCAAGCACCATGGGTCTCCTAGCGGTACAGCAATGGGAAGAGGCAACAACCTCACCCTCTGTCTCCCTCTCACCATCGCCCAGACTCAGATGTGACCCTAACGCCCTCATCCTCTTGTGCTTGGAGTCCACAGCTTCCCAGCTGGGTACCCTCTCCTGGCCTCTTCCCTCCTCTCACATCCAAGCGACATCCCTCAGATATGCAAATGAACCTGGTCCCAAGGTGATGGCTGAAACCAGGAGGCCAGGGACAAGAAAACAAAACAGCCCTGGCTGGTGTGGCTCAGTGGATTGAGTGCCAGTCTGGGAACCAAAGGGTTGCTTGTTCAATTCCTGGTCAGAGCACATGAATGGGTTGTGGGCCAGGACCTCAGTAGGGGGGCACATAACAGGCAACTGCACATTGATGTTTCCCTCTTTCTCCCTCCCTTCTTCTCTCTCTAAAAATAAATAAAATCTTAAAAAAAAAAAAAAACAAGACAGGAAGGTAACTGGGAGACACAGACCAGGGGGAAAAGCAGAGACAGAGAAACTCAGATAGACAGAAACAGATGGAAAAAGCAGGCCGAACAACAAAGACACATATGGAGAGAATGGGAACCTCCAAGACAGGAGGTGGCCAGAACCAGGCCGGGGGGACGGAGTTAAAAGGACAGAAGCGAAGGGGGAGACGCCAATGGAGAGAGGTAGTTAGGGGAAGGTGAGGGTGAGAACCTCAGGGAGGTGGGTGGTCACCTGGAAAACAGGTAAACCAAGGCAGAGCCATGGGGGGCACGTAGATCGTGACCTGAGAGGCCGCAGGCAGTGCCATTCCGAGGGGCCATTGTTAGGTGTTGGCAGGTCACTCTGGGCATGCCCTCACCAGTCCTGGCCCTGGGACAGCAGCTTCTGGCCACGGCCACAGGTCTCTGACCACAACCTGTGACCTTCTCCAACCCTCGCCAGCACCTCGTCGCTGCATGAACTGTAGGTTGAGGCTGCAGCTGAAGTCAGTTGGGCAAACACCAGATGTGAAGCGGGGATCTGGAGAAGCAGAGGCCCAGGCGTCTCCCAGCGCTGCGTGGGTGTTTCAGCCTTTCTGAGCCTCGACATTCCCACCGGTCAAGCCAGGTGCTGAGGATGCAGGCTTCTCCTGGCTGGCACCTTCTCCTGCATCCTCCCCTCTTCGTCCCCGGAAACACACACAGACCCCGCATTCCTCCAAAAAGTTGTTTTTGTCTTTTTTAAATAATGTGAAAATGCCACGCGAAGGTTTGAACCAGAGGCCCCTCCAGGGGCCAGGCTGGGGCGGGGAAGGGAGACGCGAGAGGGGGGTCCAGGTCCCCGAAGCCTGCGGCCCCTGTCTGAGGCGGGGGGTGGGGGAAGCAGAGGCCTCCGCTGTGCCTAGGGGCGCCGGGCCCAAAAGAGTTCAGCTCAGTTCCGAGAAAGGCGGCTCTCCAGGGAGGGGAAGGGGCTTCCTGCCTCATTTGGCACCGAGGGGGTCAGGAGGGTCAGGGGAGCCATCCGGGGGGCTGAGGGGCAGGGGGCCAGGGCCTCCCGTTTGGCACATGGTGGGGGAGGGGGAGGGCCCAGCCTCGGGGGCCTCCCCGGAGGCGGTGTCTGTGGTGGTGGCAGTGGCTCCGTCGTCCACAGAGGATTCTATTCTCAACCCCTCTTCTGGGGGTGCAGGGGGGTTGGGTCTTCGGGGGATCAGTTCTCCACGGGGCCTGGCGATAGAGGGGGTGGAGAGAGAAACAGAATTAGAGGGCGGATGGGCTCACGGCTTCCGGTCACTGGGAGTGAAAGTGAAGCCCTTGCTGTGGCCCACAGGCCCCACCATCCGTGGGTCCCTTTTCCGGCCTCACCTTGTGCCTCCCCTCCTGCACGTCGCTCACTCTGCTCCAGCCACAGCGGCTTCCTCCAGTTCCTTCCAGGCTCCAAGCACAGTCCCACCCCAGGGTTCTTGCACTTGCTGCTCCCACCGCATAGCACCCCCTTTCCTGAGGCCCCTGCTGTAATTGCCCCTGTCTCAGAGGCTGCCCTGGCCATTTTTTCAGTTAAGCAGGTGCCCCTCCCCCACCAGCCATAGTCACCCTGTCACCCTGTGCTCTGGTTATTTTTCTTTTCCTCCCCTGAGATAATCCCAGTCGTTGTTGAAGAGCTTCCAATCTGCTTGTCCCTCTAGAATGTAAGCTCAGGGAGGACAGGCCTGCGGTCACTGTCACATCCCAGCGTCCAGCCAGGGCCTGCCACACAGCACCCTCTCACCAAGCTTTCCC